ATAGAGATACAATAACTTAGAGCAAACTTTTTCTTTCTTTCTTTTTTTGTTTTAACTAAAAAATAAAATTTTGAAAAGCATTCATGATTTTTGTAAATGAAATGTATTACTACTCTTCAATCTATAACATTTATTTCACTTTGATTTGGACCATGTATCCTTCATTGTTCACAGTTAATAATTTTCTGCAGGCATCCCTGTATTTGCAGGAACATTGTTGCTTTCTGCTCCAATCCTCTTTTTCATATTCTTCATAGGTGGAAGCGAAAGTAGGCAGCATGTTATCAGCCCATTTTGAGTGGTCATACAGTCAAAGGAAATTCTAAATGCCAAGTGATTTAAAAATCTGTGACATCGTCACAATGTAAAGTCTATGAGCCGAGGGGGAACTCGTGAGGGGAGCAGTGTTCATTTGGACAGCTATTTTAGATTTAGTCTTAGTCTTAGTCTAGTCTTTTTATCCTTCATAGTTTTAGTCGATAAAAATTCATGACATTTTAGTCAACTTTTAGCCATTATGTTTTCTATGTTGTTGTTTTTTATCTTTAAACTAATCCAGTTAGAGTCAAGGTGAGAGATTACAAAATCCCATTTAGACAGTTTTTTCTACAACTACAAATAATTTCCACACACTTACAAACTGTCATTTCGCCAGCAGTGTTTGACAGGTTTAATGGGTTATTTATGAGCACACACTTACTGATCATCATTTGAAAAGTTCAACATCTCTCTATTTATGCTCTCAGAAACACTGACACCACAAATAACTAATCTGAGACAACTAGGATTTGTACCCAGGTTCATTGTAAAAATGACTTATCCATCTTGCTGTTAAGAAGCAGAGAGTTACTTCAATTAAAGCCTGAATTCTGTCTTAACCTTCAACATTTTAGTCAGGAGGTTTATACTTGCATCCTCTCACAGAGTTGGTGATTAAAACTAAACTTTCATTTCTGTAAGAGAAAACTGATCTGCGTTCAGACTGTTTACTGACAGCACATCTACACTCACAGATAACTGAGCCTCCTACCTGCCTGTCAGACAGCATCAAACCTAAAACCAGTCTACAAAAATGAAACATATATTTCATCTCCATTGGACAGAATAGGTGCCATCTTGGTGTTCAGTATCCAGTTATTATTATGCATCTATGACAGAGCCTGAGGAAGAAAACCAGAGTTAACAAAACAAGTGGATCAACATGGTTGCGGTACCCGTCATCTCTGACTGAGGTTTTAGGTTTTGCTGAACCAGCTATCGCAAAGGAGGCCTGGCTCTGTTGAACTTGCTTGTCAGTTCACCCCTCTGGTCTGTTCACCACCACCTCCTGAAAAAATATTGGACTCTTTAGCTGCTAAGTTCTCCACTTTGTTCATCACCTAGTTGGTAACTTTGTCTGTCTGCTATTTGGTGCTGGGCAGGAAGTGTACAGTGGCCTTACTGGAGCATTTTTAGTTGAAGACAGTTGCCTGCTACATTAATAAGAGCTGTGAAAGTGAACCAAAACGTTAAAGCTGGGCTGGGTTTTTCCATTTTTAATATAAAAAATATTGATTTGTGCAGCTTTTGTTCCTCTTTCAGATCATAATAAATAAAAATGGACTGTGTGTCCCTGACACACACCCTTCTAATGTAGGCTAATTTTTTTTTTTTTTTTTTTTTTACACCTTTTAGACATGTCCTCATGCTGACAAAAATACACTTTGGTTCTAATGGCTGACATGGATGTCGTCATCATAACTAAGTGTATTCAAAATCTATTTTTGTCATGTGCATGTAAGACAGAGAGAGACAGAGAGTGTTGTAACCCTGTAAGGTTGAAGGCGTTGTCTCACTGGTGACAGTCAACAATGTAGAAACAATCACTGAGTCTGTGGAGTCATATCATTATATCACAGCACAATTTATACAAAGACAACAGCCAACCAAGACTTTCTTAAGCCTCAGTGCCATAGAGATATCACCACAAAGATTTGCTAATAATAGCTGTCACCTAATCTCTCTGAAAGAAGACTTGGCAGTGTTAGTGGGACAGCTATACAAACTTGTGCTGGAAATTCTCCTGGCATAAATATGAAGGGAGATTAGAAAAAAAACAGAATAAAAACTGCTGCTATTTTTGGATCACACGTGTCATCCACAAACAAGCAAGTTTTATTGCATCATCAGAAAATGACATACAGTCAGGTCCATAATTATTTGGACAATGATACAGTTGTCGTCATTTTGGCTCTGTACATGAAAGCTGAAGTGTTTGGGGCACCATTATCTGCTCAGATTCAACCAAATGCTTCAAAACTCATTGGACGATGCTTCACAGTGCAGATGGACATTGACCTGAAGCATATTGCAAAAGCAACCAAAGACATTTTTAAGGCAAAGAAGTGGAATGTTCTGCAATGGCCAAGTCATATCATCTGACCTGAATCCAATTGAGCATGCGTTTCTCTTGCTGAAGCCAAAACTGAGGGCAAAACACCCAAAACACAAGCAGGAAGTGCAGACGGCTACAGTAAAGGGCTGGCAGAGCATCACCAGGGAAGAAACCCAGCATCTGATGATGCCTATGTGTCCAACACTTCAGGCAGTCATTGACTGCAAAGGATTTGCACCCAGTATTAAAACTGACTGTTTAATTGATGATTATGTTATTTTGTCCAAATACTTATGAGCCCTTAAAGTTGGGGGACTGTGTGAAGAAATGGTTGTAATTCCTACACGGTTCATACTACATTTTTGAAAAAAGCCTTAAATGAAAGCTGAGAGTCTGCACTTTAAGCAGGTATTCATTGTTTCATTTAAAACCCATTGTGGTGGTGTACAGAGCCAAAATGATGACAACTGTATCATTGTCCAAATAATTATGGACCTGACTGTATGTCTGACACAACCTGGGGCTACTCTGTGTGTGTGTGTGTGTGTGTGTGTGCGTGTGTGTGTGTTTTGAAATACATAATTAAGTTTGAATTGTTTTACTCCTGAGTGTTCTGTGTAAATTAAAAAATGTAACAATCACTAGGTGCTCTGAAACAAACAAATAAATAGATGTCTTAATTTTTTGTTTTTCATTATTACACAACCAAATGAATTAATTGTTTTTATCTCTAATATAATAAACACTTTTTTTATTTATAAGTCCTCTGAAACAAAATGAATAAAGGTTATATTTATTTTATATTTTCCAAGAGTTCTGAATAAATAAATGAATACATCTCTGTGTTCTCAAACAAATATATGCAAATGAATACATTAATTTGCCCTTTTTTATAATGTGGAAATATTTTTTTTTATATCCAAGTGTCCTAAAAACATACAAGTAAATTGATGAAAATGAAATTAATACACATACACATAAATAACAATATTAGTCTTACTCACACACGTGTATGAAAAAATACGATATATATCTATATAAATCTAAAAATGTCTATGAGCAAGCGAACTGGACACACATGCACATACACACTTGTTTCAATCACTAAAGTGAACACTGCATTGACTTATATTCATTCCCTGTCAACTTACCCTAACTGTAACCCACACACACACACACACACACACACACACACACACACATATTCTTGTACTTCTATCTTTGTGAAGACCCTTACCTCTTATCCTAACCTTAACTCTCACAGCTAAATGCCTAACGCCGACCCTTACCTGAACCCTAATCTAAACCTAGTTCTAACCTAAAGCTAAATCCAAGTCTTAACCCTAAAGCAAGAAGTGAGGACTGGCCACAAATGTGTCAGGTCACAGTTATTGGCTTTTTGGGCGACAGCTTTCACAGTCATGAGCTCATGGTGCTTTTATTTATATGTAATTTAGCCCATTGTGTTGGTATGCTGAAAAGACTGCTCATGTGCTGGTGACAGTTACAAGATGAACTGGTGCTGCACCATTTGATCGCATTAAAAATTGTCCTCAGTTGTTTAGAAGCAAGAATAAATCTATATTTTTCATGAAAAAAAAAGAAGTGAAAGTGATTCTCCTCTCTTGCTTGTTGAAATATTTTTTGGTCCTCACTATAGCCCTTTTTATGCAGAGATCACGCTATGGGGCATTTTTTATATGCAACCAAACCATGGCGGCATCATCATCATCTGTTCTTTTTTTCTTTCTTTTTTTGAGTTAGCTGCTAACTGCTATCAGCTGCTTTTTAAACCTTGTTACACACATAACACGTCAAAACGTCACACCCATCCCATCCTGCCGCTGTCGCTTTTACACAAACGTTGATTCAGTCCTGTTACTACCTCTGATGCCCGCTTAAAGGCGAGACAACTCTGTCCCCCCATTTTGCATTTTATCTATTATAAATAACGGCGGAATAATGGCGCAAAATTCCTGCCTTGAACAGGCAGTGTAAAAGGAGCTTATGTAGCAAGTACAAGTGCACACACACACACACAAATAAACAAACAAAGGCACATAAATAAACAATGCAATAAAATTATATATTTTTTTAAAAAAACACTAATGTCATTCATTCAGGTATGAAAGTATAAACTGATGTAAAGTCTACACACAAAACAGCCTGGGCTTAATCACAGGAATATACAGGCATTTACACGCAAACAAATACACTCAGTACGAGCTGATGAAAGACTGAGTCAAACACTCAGGTAGATATTCTGGTTATTACCTCATGCTGGTTCAAATGTAAAGAGTGCACGCTAGAGTAGTAGACTGTGACAGTGGTGTAGTGGTAGTTGATGAGGTGGGTGTACTGCTAGGTAGATAGGTAGGTTACTGATGAGGAAGTGGGCATACTCTCCTATATATTACAATGGCTTTTTAGCTGATAGGTAGATATACTGTAACTGGATAGAAAAAGAAGTGGACTGTGAGCTCCCTCACGCTCACCGTTTGGGCTTGGCAGCATATTTCCTGCGTGTCGTCAGTGGGCGTGCACTGCGCGCGCGCGCACGTCGAAAATTCCTCGGCTGCCTCTGACAGCAGCAAACGAGTAGCCATCACACCTACCTACTGTAGGACTTTCACTGAGGAAAGAGGAAGTCGAGGAAATAAACGTTTCCATTTCCTCATGCCGCCGGTTTTTCCCAGGTACACGCGGCCCAATAAATAGCAAACCGTGGAGGATGATGGCAAGTAAAGCGAAGCAGATCCTCTTGTTCAGAGTCAGTCAGAGGAGAGAGATACAGGATGGACATGAAGCAGGTGAGTAAGACGCAGACAGATGGGGCAGCTGCTGATACTGGCCGCTCACGCTTCCTCCATCACTTCAGCTGCCCTCTGTCTGTTTGTCTGTCCCTCCACAGATTCTCATCTTTGGACTTTTTCTCGTGCCCGTGTTGACGTGCAAGATGAACCGGTGCTATGATGAGCACGAGCTGAGCGACGCAGCGGAGAGGAAGCTGAGGATGCACTACCCACAGCCTCCGGAGCCTTCAACCCAGAATGCACCCGATTCACCTGCCTCCTGCCCCGTGGACCATTTCCATCAGCAGCCGCCTCAGGACATCAGCGAGAGGTCCCTGTCTCCCTGGAGATACTTGTAAGTAACATTCTGGCGCATTTACGCACAGTTTTACGCATTTAAAACTACTATGTACAGATAGGAATCAGTGACTTTAAAGGATTAAAGCCCTTAATTGTTTCCCTGATGGAGTGTAAAACCTGACGGAGTCGATTTGAGGGAAATGTTTCTAAACTCATACAGGAACACGATCCTGAAAACATAAAAGTGCTCAGACTTGGTGCTTGTCACAGTGACCGATGATTATTTACCTCAGGGGGAACTTCTGGCTCGGTGCTGCCTCCCTCTGACCCTCCAGTTAGACTTTAACTCGCTCAGAAACTCTCCATGAGCTCATAAAATAAACATTACAACTATACACAAGAGGAGTCTTGGTTTTAAATTGTCGTGGGAAAGTTCTGAGATAGACTGAAAAAATGATGTCTCAGAGACATTCTTAAGTTTTTTTTAAGAGATTCCAAAAATATTTCAAAACCTTACTCTATTAGACGGTGTCTGTAGATGATGGATTGGCGCAGCCACAAAAATCAGGCATCACTCAGCATCATACAGCTTTAGTGAAATAATAACCAGCTCTTAAGGCGAAATCAATATTTGCACAGTATCCAAATGCCCCGTGTTGCGTTTACGTACGTGCATCAGTTTGACCCTCATATTAATTAGTGGTTGTGATCTGGTACACTTTGCGCCAGGCTCTGATGCGCCACGCCTTCGTGAGGAAAATCCCCTCTTAAGCCAATGACCGCGGCTTTGTTGCCACATATCCGCTGGGAATGACGCGCATTGTTTCTCTGAGTGCAATCTCTGATCTGCTGTACTTTATTACCTGACACATTGTCGGTGATTGGGAGTTTTTTTTCCTGTTCACCTGCAGTTGTTTAAGCTTTGTAAAGTCCCTGTAAAATCCTGTGGTTATTTCTACTAAGCTTTTGCCCTCAAATATAATGATCTAACTGTCAGATCCATAACCGGTTTAGTCAGTTTGGGTGCCCAAAGGCACTGTGTTCACTGTGTTGTGAGGCCCCTCTGTGTGTGTACAGTATGTACAGTAATCACTCTCCTCCAAGTCTCAGTCGACTGACAGTGCACATAACACACAATTAATAGAAGCTGTATTATTTTCAAAATGCCCTCAAAAAATAGGGATTGGTAAAACACAACTTGCTGTTTGTTGGTGTTGGGGGGCTTGGCAATTGTCTTGTCAAGGTGACACACCATCCAGCATCCACTCCACCTCCTGATGACAAAATCAGCTTATACACTGTCACTTTAGAAATACTGATGTGATATGTATCAAATGTGCAAATGTAACATATCCATAGTTTGCAGAAATGTACAATACCAACATTGTCTTCTGGCAACTGGGCTGATTATTTTCCCAGAGACACTGAAACCAACCTGTACACTTGAAAGCTACCTGACCTCAGGTCTGCTGTGTGTCATTTTGTAGTAGTTTGATTCATAAACACAACTTGAAAAATGGACCCAAAATAACATAGTAAAAGAATTAAAACTAGAGTTTGACACACAGATTCTGTACAGGACTAGTGCTACTATAAAGTACTCACACTTTATTTTAGCATTTCAAATTTTCAGCTACTTAAAACTTCAACTCTGCTACATTTCAGAAGGAAATGATGCTTTTACTACATGTATTTAACAGCTATAGTTACTTGTCAGAGTATTATTTTTGCATAAAGCAACTGACATTTTCAATAGTTCAATAATGACAAAAACAGTGACTGTACGAAACCAGATTCCAGAAGAAGATATACTTTTTTAATGCCCAAGGGGAAATTCTGTTGTTTTCACTTTGTTGTCATACACACAGGCCTGAAATACACACACATGCACAAACAGGACCTATACAGTACATGCATTAAATGGAGAGATGTCAGAGCAAGGGGAGTGCTTATGGACAGGTCCCTCGAGTGATTGGGGGTTCAGTGCCTTGCTCAGGGGTACCTTGGCAGCTACCAGTCCCTGCTCCATATTTGGTCCAGACAGGTCAGGTAATAATGCAGGGCTGTCCAGTTGAAAGTCAGTGAGCCCAGAGCCTTTGAGCCCTTACTGGTCTTGGGTCATGGGGCATTTGGTAATTCAACCACATGTCCCAATCTGGACTCAGGCCATGAACAGGAGAAGAACCCCCCAAATAACACCCCCTACTTACTAGGTATACTCAGAATATTGCCCTAAGTCATTTGAGTTTGATATGCAGGTTTTATTTATGTTTGGACATACAAGGTGTATCTCCAGCAAACACATTTATTTTATTTATTGGTGTAGAAAAATTAGCATTTTAACATCCAAATCAGATGCATTTGCAGAAAAGCCTAATCTTATTCATCTCCTCACTGTCTGTGGATAAGCTGCTCACTGAGTCATTTTGTTCCTTTCCAGACTTGTGACAAATAAGGATCACTATCCCTCCACCTATGCCGAGGCTCAGTGCCTGTGCTCAGGATGCATCTTGATCCAGAACAAGGGCCCCCCAGTGGAGAGCCACGACTACATTTCATACCCTGTAAAGCAGAGCAGGGTGTTTCTCAAGAAGGAGCTCTGCGACGATGGAAAGAGATACCATCTGAAGCCAGTTACTGTGGATGTGGCCGTGGGCTGCACCTGCACCAGAGTAAAGACCTCCTCCTAGAGGGGAGCCATCCAGACCTGCTGCCACAGTGGCACGCTACAGCTTATGTTGTGTTTGTTTTAAAATGCACCAAGTTCTCTAGAAAGTCAAACTCAGGGGTGTTAGGTCCTGCAGTGTCATCAGTGAGCAGACATGACTGTTTGCACAGAGGAAACATCGGTCCAGCGTGCTCTCTCATGACAGTGCCACGCCTAAACACACAGCCGACACCCCTGGGATAATTTATGAGGCTTTAAAAGCCACATCAGCCTGTTTTTACAGGCCTGTTTATTGTGATAATAGTTCAAAATTGATACGTCTTTAATGTGTTTGTTTTGTAGGTCTTTATGGGCCCTTTATTCGGACATGTTTACAGCTCTGCCCAGTGCAGGTAATGTAAACTGGGTGTTGTCATTGAGGAAAATAACTATTGTATAGTTTTGTAAAATAATTATTTAACAGCTACTAGTATTTAAATAATTATCTATTTATTTCGTTTGTTTTGCATGTGTAATGTTTGAGCATAAGGAAAACTGTGTATTTATTTATTTTGGATATCTTGTAGCTTTAGTCCCAGTGGGACTTTAAAAGTCTGGTAAAGACTCAAAGTACAGCTTCTTTGAAGCAAAATAAAGAAATGTGATTTAAAAAGAAAACTTATTCTCTTGTTTCTTTATTTAAAGCTGATATTGGAGCATGCAGGGTTGGATTACCAAGCAGACAAAGGTTCAAAAGTCACAAGTTTACTAATGTCAGTGGGTTTGGGTAATTAATTGGAGGATTATGTCAAATGTACTAATTTGGTTGATTTGACAGTTAGGGTAAGCATGACTTTCTCTGAGAGGTGAGGACACAGGAGTTCAGAATTCCTTTCAACATATCCATTCAGGATTTGTAGGTTCCAGGAGAGGCGGAACAATATACAAAAAAAAAAAAAACCCATACTCACCCTCTACTTTAAATTGTGTTGGGTACTTATCATTTTACAACCGCCATGTATAAGTCACATTGTAAATAAATAGGCTATCCAATACTGTGAATACACAGTAAAGTCCATCCATTCATTTTCATCCACTTATCCGGGGCTGGGTTGGTGGGGCAGCAGGCCGAGCAAAGTATTCCAGACGTCCCTCTCCCCAGCAACACTTTCCAGCTCCTCCTGGAGGATTCCGAGGCATTTCCAGGCCAGATGAGATATGTAATCCCTTCAGCATGCTCTGGGTCTGCTCTGGGGCCACAAGGCCAACCTGCCCTTGGACCAGTGAGACTTGGAACACCTCTAATAGGTGGTGCCCAGGAGACATCCTAATCAGATGCCCAAACCACCTCAACTGACCCCTTTCGACGCAAAGGAGCAGCAGCTCTACTCCGAGCTCCCTCCGGATGATGTCTGAGCTCCTCGCCCTATCTCTAAGGCTGAGCCCTGCCACCCCACGGAGCAAACTCATTTCGGCCGTAGAGACTATAATATATAATATACTAATTCTGAATCATCATCGTTAAACATAACTGCGACAATATCACCTCCAACTGGTGAGAAGTTTATCTTCCACAGGAGGGGTCCTTTCTGTCCAACAGGAAACTTAAGGTGGAAAGTAATATAGCTATTCATTTGGACCTGCAGACTGACCACAGATTTGTTAAGGAATTTGCATCACTGCAGTTTAGTGTCATTACAGACAGGTCCTGCATTATTAGCCTGTGTTGTGGGTCTGCCTTGTGTCATCACACACTATTAATATTTTAGTTGTTGGTCTTCTCCACAGAAGACATGTTGCCTTATCACATAGCACAGGTGGAAACGATAAAATGAAACATTGCTGCAGCCTGCAATCTGGGTACTAGTCTATTCTCAGCCAACAGAGGGAATAGAAAAAAAAAATTGGTGTTAAAATTAAAGTTAAAATTTGGTGTTAAGTCAAAATCCAAAAGGCCTATTCATATCACTGTTTTTCACATTATGCAAATGAGCAAAGAATCCATCACGGGTGGCATAATTGTCCATGAGTGTTTTTGTTAAGCTCATTGAGATGTAGATGTGTTTCACACTTCAGTCAGACTCATGGTGTGAGGGGCGTGGCCTGTCACTCTCTACTTTTCCACCTTTTAATTATAATGCCGAATAGGCCACGTCATGCACCAGTCATTATGACACTTCAGATTTTAGACCAGTCTTCTTCATTTATAACAGAAATGTGTGTCTCAGTCCCACAATACTGTACACCAAATTTGGTATTGGGTCAAAATCTAAGAAGTACATCTTAGTGTTTTTCACATTGTGCAAATTTTTAGAAAGACTCTAATGGTCCAAGGGGCTTTTTTTGTCAAGCCCATTGAGCTGAATGTCTTTTCAAGTTAACTGGAGTTACGGTGTCAGGGGCATGGCCTCACCAAAATCACATTTTTGCACATTATTATTCAGGCTCCTCTCCTGTGGAACCATCTTCCTGTTTTGGTCTAGGAGGCAGACACTGTCTCCACATTTAAGACTAGACTTAAGCCTTTTCTTTTTGATAAAACTTAAAGCTAGGGCTGGCTCAGGCTTGTCTTGGTTCAGCCCCTAGTTAGGCTGACATAGGCCTAGTCTGCCGGGGGACCTCCTGTGATACACTGAGCCTCTTCTCTTTCTATCTCTCTCTCTCTCGCTCTCAGATTCTGAAAAGTTGGTTCTTCTTCATTTGCTAACATTCATGTCCTATTACGGCATATCGCTAACTTTACTTCTTCTCCGTAGCCTTTGTGCTCCACTGTCTCACAGGTTCCCTAAATTCGCAGTTAGCCTGGATTGTGGATCCTGGATCGTGGTTGTGCTGCTGCCATGGTCCTGCCTGATGTCTACTACTACTGCTATTATTTTCAGTCTTACTTCTACTATTATTATACACATACGTTTATAACTGTCACATACATATACTAACATATATTAATATATACTTGGAACATAAAATACTTTCAAAATACTGCTACTACTGTCATTATTATTATCATCATTATTATCAATACTTAGGATGATCTGTTCTGTACAAGACATCTAGTGCATGTCTGTCCATCCTGGAAGAGGGATCCCTCCTCAGTTGCTCTTCCCAAGGTTTCTACCAATTATTTCTCCGTTAAATGGTTTTTTGGGGACAAATTGTAATTTGTGATATTGGCCTTTATAAATAAAACTGATTTGAATTGGAAAAAATGAATGATTTATAGCACCACCATATGGCCGATTAAGGTCATATTTCTTGGGAAGCATTTGCAAATCATTTCCAGTTATTGGGCCAAGTTCCGTGTTTCTATGCTCATTCCAGCACACCGAAATCAGAGCAGTGGTATAAGACAACAAAAGACTCCTTCTGGGCTTCAACCCAAATGATGACAGGACTCCATTTTGCTGCATCAGTTTCAGGATCCTTGTGTTGTTCATGCTGCCTCATTGATACACTGTCGAGGCCTACTGAGACACTTAACACGCAAGAAACATCTGACTTGAGTTCAAGTGTACTGATTGGGATCTGGGTCTTTGGGTGATTAAGCTGCCATGTGTAGTCTACTGTGTGCACTATGTGCTGAGGTGAACTTGTCACAGACTACATACACAATGCATAGTAAGTGCATCATTTAAATTCCCTATAGGTGTTCAGCTGGATTGAAATTGCAAAGGCCAAAGCATTGCTTAGATATTCACAGTAAACTAGGGGAGCCCAGACTTTTGCATGCTACTTTATGTTGACATAAGGGCAACATGATGTTGAAACCATGAGCAATATCATCATATGACTGGTTGAGTTCATCTGACGAATGAAGCCTCATAGCATGCATTATTATTGCTGGTGTTGTGTGTGCTCTGTATTGTTCTCAACCATGTTTCCAAACCTTAAATGTTGTTATATAATTAGTTCATATGAGTGAATACAATTATACTGAGAGGAATGTGACATTAAATAAACACATTCCTGGGGCACAGGTAGCGTAGTGGATAGTCCTGGCGCCCCATGTACAGAGGCGATGCCTCGCTGCAGCGGTCGCAGGTTCGACTCTGGCTTGTGACCATTTCTGCATGTCACCCCCCGCTCTCTTTCTCACCCCCTTTCACTCTGTCCAATAAACTAAAGGCAAAAAAAAGCCCCCCAAAAAATCTTTAAAAAAATAAATAAATAAACGCATTCCACACATTCAACACACTTCTTAGTCAAACATTAATAGTAAATTGTTTTATTTATTACTTTATCAAAGCATTTTTTTACAAAATGGGGACACAGTTACACTTTTGGAGAATGATTCCAGATGTGAAAGTTACTGTGAGGTAACAATTCTATCCACTGGGCTGAGACATCTTCACTTTATGTAGCAAACTTCTTCTGGCGGACAGGTGCTGGCAGCTGAGACATGATATCCAGCAGGGGGCGCTCCACTACAACCAGAGAATGGTCCTCCAATAAACTCACACACATGAGATGCTGCAGGGACAAATACAGGGAGGACAAAAAACATCAGAGGGGTATTCCAGGTAGGAGGTTCAACAAACTCTGAGTCTAACCCTGAACTCTGAGTTGATTTACCCTGAGATGGGAAACTCTGAGTTACCGGTTCCAGAACAGCTGATCTGAGTTAGTTCAGTCAACTCTGAGTATGTTCACTCTGAGTTAAGCCGACAATAAAAAGCCATCATCAATGGAGCTCCGACTCCACGATTCACCATGGCAACAGGTAAATAAAAGACAGCGCCTCCATTTTAATCCAGTGGACGTAGAGATATTAATGCATGTGTAGCAGACGGTGCACGTTTATCTTTAAAAGAAGAGCCTGAGTCAGAGCGAGGAAAGTGTAAATAAGTTAACCATAAAGTTAATGAAAAAGTTTTATTCAGTGTTGTCTGTTTATTCATCATTTATCAGACTTACATAATTCTTAATGAAGATAAAGTGGTGGAATCTGACTGTTTATCAGGTTGTAGATACATTAGGATACATTATATTAATTATATACAATAATATATTTGATTTGATCTGATGGGGAAAAACACAGGATTCAGCAACTGAAAAATAGGAAGATTTAAAACATATAGGCTAGGCTATAGATCAAAGACATAAAGACATGACTGTAAACTCACAGTCTGACCCAGTAATAATATGTTTGGTGATTTGCACTTAAAAAGATGTTGAGGTTAAAATACAGTAGATTTTAAAATGTTGGACATCTATTTGTATCTTGACTCAACAGCATTCAGTGACTTTATTTCAGCTACAAATGTAGTAAATTTAAAGACGCTGAAATGCTGCACCATTGCTCACTCAGACATATTAACATAATCCCCAATATTAGGCTATAGGATTTATGTTCCATCAGTGCGACCAATGACATCAGTGATAGAGATCATTAGTCATTGATACTACGTGTCTAAAGCTTCATACCAATTTTTAAAATTTAAATACATAGACCTACACATTATGTGCAATAAACATTTTGGAGCTGCTCTAACAGACTGACAGTCTGATCCTTGTGCACAGTGTTATAAAAAATAATAAATATAAAAAGAACAGAGGTTTGATTCTGAGCTGAGGGTGAATTCTCACTGT